GTCTTGGATAGGATGGGTTTTGAAGACCATGAAAGTATGGAAACCAAAACAATTCTCCTAAGGACCCATCATGGTGTGGATTTTAAAGTAAAACTGTGCAATGCTGAGTATAACTCATTTTGGTTGCAAAATTGGGAAGCACTTTGCAAGATGTATGGTTTTGATGAGGGTATGCTTGTCACCATGGATCTTGGTGATCCTACAATCGAGCAAGACAATATGGACATTTGGGTCCTTGTGGATACATCTCCAATTCTTCCACCATGTGAGCTTAATATAGTTATTAAGTAATTTATATTGTTTATTTAAAAATAGTTGACAGCTTATTTTCATTCTTCAAAGAATGTGCGGAAGATGGTAGACAAAACCCACTACACCGATGGCTCCGAATTAACTTATAAGGAGAAAAATCATTTGATCACATTTTGTACTGATCTTGAGAATTACAATGTCTATAATCGAACTCCTCAACATTATGGTCAATACGTGCCACTAGTGCACGTGTTAAACTACGGTAACTACCATGGAGATACCCTGGTAAGATTTTTTACTATTACGACATCCGTGCATCTTTTTGCATACTTCTAAAACTAGTACATCATTGCTAACTACGAAGTTATTACTATCTTTTTCAACAGATAATCCCGAATGATTGTGTGCCTCATCTGATGTATACGCACGGTCGCATTGATGTTTCGAACATACAACCAGGTCGTCCTACGAATCTCAACTGTCCATACCGGATTTCTAAAAGAAGTGAAGACATGACAATCGAAGAATGGAAAAAATGTATGAACAGTCGTAAGGAGCTTCTTGGAAGCAAAAGAAAGCGAAGCACAAGAATTGGAGACAGGATGATCTCCATTCTTCATAATGGAGAGTTAGGGTCTATATTGTTTTATGCTATTTTATCTTAAGTGTGTTTAGGTCTACCTGATACTGATGATGTGCTAAGAACAATTATGTAGGGTTGGGTTCGATGACTATGAGTATGATGATCGTATGACTTGTTATTAATAACGAGTAGAAGTTGTATGATGATGCATGATTAGTAGGACTTGTTATTATATATGATGATGTATGATGCGAGCATGAAGAGTTATTATATATCAGCGGGTGAAATGAACATAGCAGTAGCGTTGGTAAACCAAGCACGAAGATAAGAGAGGACACTTCTCTCTATTAGCTAGCTAATAACAACCTAAATTAACCCCCAAAACCCCTAAATCAGCCACTTTAAAAAAACTTAGCCACAGCCAGCTTCTGACGCGTGGATGCCTTTTGGTCCTGGTTTATGTCCAACCGGGACCAAAGGCCCCCCTGCCTAGGCTGCCCGCAGCGGCCACGTGGATGCCCATCTGTCCCGGTTCGTGTAAGAACCGGGACTAAAGGGGGAAGGCATTAGTAACGACCTATTAGTCCCGGTTCAAGAACCGGGACTGAAGGCCCTTACGAACCGGGACAAATGCTCTGTTATCTACTAGTGCCATCTAATCCCAAATATCGAACATCTCACACATATCCTCGAAGTCATGTGGGGCTGGTAGGGCCCACATGGCTAGGTGGTGCGCCCAGGGCGTGGTCGCGCCATTAGGTCATGTGGGGGACTGGTGGGTCCCCTCTAGTACTTCTTCGCTCCATAAATCATTATATATTCCAAAATAATTCTCCAAAAATCCACATTACGTTTTTAGCTCCAGAGAATTGTTTTTTCTTCTATTGCATTTTAGGTCTAGAATTCCAGCTGTCCATCAATCCCCATATTTTTGTATTCCTTGCATTTTAAGAGCGAAAATGCATTATAAATGCATCATATTGTGAAATATATCATTGATATAGGATAAATTACAGTAGAAAATAATGATGCAAAATGGACGTATCACTAGGTTACATCACCCTTACACTTGGGGGATACCCAACCACTCTTATGTGAGAGAAAGCACCCCTGATGCTTCGGAAGCTCAAGGCAGTGCGGCTCTGCCTAGTTTCTAAGCAGGAGCACATCAACCTGCAGAACGCCTAGCTCAGTCGTGTCCAAGAGGTCTAGCACCATGCTCAGGCACTAAAATTTTGTGGACGAGCGGTCAACAAGGTGATCACCATCCAGGAGAAGGACGGAGCCATGGTGTTCGCGACCCTGAGTCACAACATCATCCTCGCCACGATCACGAAGCACGCTATCAACATCATGAGCCATTTAGGGCCATGATGCAAAATGGACGTATCACTAGGTTGAGGGTCAATGATATGGAGGAGTGCAAGGTGGCATGTGAGGAGCACAAGGCGACAATTGAAGAAGAAAAGTTAAGAGTCCTTCAGATGAAGTGAATTTGAAGAAGACAGAGTAAGAATTCAGGATCATGTTCATGAACCACATTGGACTTGATGTAAAACAAGTGGAGTATCTAGAACTGATGAAAGCACAAATTCCAGCATCGAGTGGGAGCGGAAATGAGAATGAGCGATGCCCTATGTTTGATTTGAACCGTATGTTTGATTTTGAATTTCTTCATAGTATGAACTCTAAAAATGAGGATTTGAACTGAAGTCTTTTTTTGTTGAAAGTAGTAACATAATGTTTTTAATTAGATGATGTGAAAATTAAGTGTTCACAGTGTTTGCACAAATACATAGAGAAATGGAGTAAAGTGAGTTCTTGGGAATGATTTATTGAGAATCTGCAAAAGTGGTACTACACATGAAAACCCCGGCAAATTTATAAAAACGCTTCCGCTTAACTGACTAATTTTCATGCTCCATCCTCCGCCTCCGTGATCGTTAGATCTGCCTTTCATTGGACGGCTCGCATTAACCCGCTCTATTGGATAGCTTTTGCAACGTGATCCTTGTTGCAATCCCTTCAAACGCAACAAGTCTGTTGCGGAATGGCCAACGGATAGGGCGGTTGCCTGCCTGCGGCGGCGCCATGGTCTGCCGCAATAGTGAGCTCGAGGGGGGGGGTCAGAGATCTGAAGAGGTGCGAGAGGAAGATTGAGAGGAGAATAAGAAAGAGGGAAGGAAGGAGAAGGGCATGGCGGCGTGCTGCTCCGGCGAGCTCGCTAGCCGACGCAATGGGCGATGGAGGTTGGTGGCGCTCGGGACGGGAGCTCGGGCGAATGGGCTTGTAGTTAGCAGCGACGACGGCAGCCTCAGCGGATATCCTTTTTGCAACAAAAGTCTTGTTGCAAAAGCTGCCGATACAAGTAGGATCCAACAAGGGCACTGTTGCAGTGGCGATGGCCATCATTAGCAACAAGGGTCTTGTTACAAGTGCAACAAGGCTCTTGTGGCGATGAGAGAAATAGAGAATAGAAAGACATCGCATGGCGATCCGGCCGGTCTATTGAAAAGATCTAACGGCCAACGTGTCCCATCGCACATCCCGTAAATTTATTGGAAGATTTTTTTTTAATGTGCTGTAGATGCTTTAAGATCGGCACTATCGGCTCGTGTAGTTGGGCTCCATGCTCACTGGTGCTGATTACAAGAGTTAGAAGTTGTCAACATAATGGTTCAAGTCCTGCTGCTCGCATTTATTTCTGGATTTATTTTAGGATTTTCGGCGATGCGCATTCCGCGGGAGGAGACGTTCCCGTCGACGATAAAGTGCCTACGGTGACTTTGTAAATTTCAAGATGATATGCCGGCTCAGTCTTTCGAAAGTGCTCATAGAGGTAGGGTGTGCGTTCATATGGATGAATGTGTGCGTGTATACATGAGCACTTGCGTCTGTACTATGTTAAAAAAAATGGTCGGCGTCGTTTTGGCTTGCCACCGAGCGTAGCGTGGAGCCAAACGGCTGGGCGGTCGGTATGAGAAGAGAGCGCAATTGCAGTCAGCCCAAAAAGGGTGTGAAACTAGTCAAGAAAAACTAGTAGAAAAACTTGGCATCGAAGGGCCTCATCACTGGACCCTCCCGCTAGCAGATCATCTTGACGCTCAAGATCGTATCAACTATTATTAGTTAATCTCTTTAAAAAATGCTCTTATATTATATTAGTTAATCTCTTTAAAAAATGCTCTTACATTATGAAACGGAGGGAGTACTAAGCGTAATGGCGCCGTACTCGGCGTATTCGCGATTTCGCGGAATGAAGATCTCCATGTCAATGCTTATCCATCAAGCTCAACCTGTCTTTCTTGCTTACTCACAGTAGGTAGATAGGTGCAGATCCTGCAGGTCGCTTAATCGCATCATGAGAGTTAACTAAACACTTGTTTCGACGGTGCTTGGTGGTCACCGGTCACTCCTCCATGAATTTTCGCTGGTAAACTGCAGGAAAGTCTCTGGCTTTGCGCTAATCATCATCATCATAAACCGCGTGATCTGACGACGACGACGACGATGATGGTGACTCAACGGCTGCGGTAACTAGTTGTGTCGACGACCGCACCACCCTACGCTGTCCACCTAGGCTAGTTTGTTTCAGACAGCTTTTTTACCCCCCACAGATTCAGCAAAACCTTTGCACCTGGAGATCTACAGACTCATGCCCGTTGCTAGGGTACCATGCCCAGCTTACCCGCAAAATCACAGCCGTCCCTCCCTCCAGGATGAACGGCTGCGATTCGACAGGTCAACCAACAACAACCTTCCACCTTAAGAATGGCTAGCAGACCATAAAAGGTCTTCTTTCACAGGTCTTCTTTCACAGGGACAGGACAGGGCTAGCTAAAAATCATCATCCTCAAAGGCGGCACAGCGCCCCCAATTGCGGGGCCACAGGCAGCAGCAAGTACCACACACGAACAATGCGACACGCTTGCACACAACTCTGTTAACAAGTTTCGACGAATTCGCCGATGCGCAAATAATGGCAGCAGGATCTCCACCCAATCGACGGATCACCCCGCAAACTCAACCTACATTTCCAATTTCCTAACAACTCACAGATAGCAGCAGATCTAGTGCCACTAGCTGGCAATCACTTCAGTTCAGTGTCCGATGACCGAAAACACGACCAGCGACACCAGGACCGCCAGCAGGTAGCCGCTCTGTTTTAGCGCGGGGGACGCCGAGCTCGACGTTGACCCGTGTGGCTTCTGAGCCCTACAAGACAGCAACATCAGACCAAGCATCAGTTAGTAACTGCAAGTCTGTGACCATATTGTAAGAAGGACCATAAGAAAGCCACAGCACACAGGCAAGTCCAAAAGTAGCAGCTTACTTTTGTTTTTCCCTGAGGAGGCCACAGAAGAGGGCGTTGTCCGGCAACACCGACTCCGTCACGTTGTAGCCTCCGTCAGGATCCACCACCCGGATGTACGTCTCCTGGCCGAGGTACCAGGTGTCCAGATTCTCCGTGCGCACGTTCCAGAACCCCGGGCTGTCGAGCGACAACAGGACGGCGGTCCATGCTCCGGGGAACACCTGCGTTGCCAGTGAGACGGTGTTAACTACGGGGCCGCAACACTTTATAGGTCACTTTCGGCGGATATTGTCTATCCAAGTTACAAACAGCTACAAACAGGTACACACAGAAATGTTCTATCCAAGTGATACCCTACAGTACATACCTGAGTGGTGCAACGGGAAACGCCATCCCACTTGTTGTACGTAGAACGACTTTCGTTCTTCCACTCACCATAGTCCATTCTGTTGGCAATGCGCAAACAGTTCAGCACACAGGACTCCACCAAACCGGTTACTGAAAGAGATGAATAGTTTCAGGCTGTGCTCACCCCACGACCCAGAAGGCGTATCCGTCGATGTGGTAGGTCTGAACCTTCGTGTCGTTGTTCTGGAACACAATCTCCATGAAGTTCTTGTACGTCGAGTTGATGACAGAAGATCCGATCGCCGGCGGTCCATCAGACGGCATGGTTGGGAAGTCCAGTGTGTAGACTTCTTTCTTGTCATAGAGATCCGCAAGCCTCAATGGAGTAGCAGGCGGGGAGTAAGAGATGCCGTTCAGTGTGGTCCGCCTTTTGCCATTGATGGTAACAGGTGGCATGTTCCTCAGCTTGTACACTTGGGTCACATTGATTTCGCCGTAGTGAAATGATCCTTGAGGATTCGGGCGAGCAGCACCGGTGGTCACATTCATCCTGACAAACAGAAGGTATTTTAGTAGGCTCAAGTATGTATGCAACTATGGATACATTATCCATGACCAATGTGCACACATGAGAAAATGTAGCTACTGTCTACCACTATTACCAGGTGTCTTTACACTTTACTAATGACCACAAAGCTTTCTAGAAATCATTGTGTTGGTATGACAAAAATTTACAGTATTTCTCTAAGAAATATTCCTGATATGAATGCTCAAGTACAAGGGCCAATATTTCAGCAGACAATTTCCCGTTTGAGTACACAATCGTGATGAAAGAAAGGAGGTGACTATTATATTCATATCCAATACATATTTTTCTCTCAGGATTTGTAAAGCCAAGCATACTTAGTCAACATCTCTTAAAAATCAACATCGAACAAAAAGGTGCATAAAATATTTTTTTGCGATAGCCAAAAGCCCAAAAGACCATGGAAAGTTAAGGGGAAAGCAAGTAAATCAGAGCTAGATTATTTATTTCATACAAGAGTACTGCTTAAGTTTAGTTAGGTGTAGCAAAACACTTTTTTTTCATAAAGTACACATCATAGAACATGATGGGTACTGAGGAACAAGATTATTATTACTAAACAGTCAACACATGACGGCAGCAATTCCTAACATCAGGCTATTAAATTTTATTTCAGAATTGCGTGAAGAGAAAATTGTGTCGGTGGTCATTTGCATGGTCAGAGCTTAGGTAAAAAATTAGTCAGAGATTGCTCACTTTTATGCTTGGTTTGAAATGCCTTATTGTGTGTATATTGGCTCTTTTATTAGAACCCGCTTATTTTTTCCCATTCAGAATTTGTAGAGCCAAGCATATTTAGTCAATGTCTCTTGAAGATCAAGGTCAGACCAGAGGTGCATAAAATAAATTTGTGAGAAAGCCTCATAGCCAAATGGCGACTGAAAGTTGAGGGAAAGTCAATTAAATCATACAAGATTACTGCTTAAGTTTAGTTAGGTGTAGCCAAACACTGTTTTCATAAAGTATGAATCATAGCACATGATGGGAGAGCGCTGTCATTATTATAAAACAGTCAGCACATGATGGGTCAACCATTTCAAACATCATGCTTATAAAAGTAATATCAGGATTGAGTGAAGAGAAAATTAAGCTGGTGACACTTTGTGTGGTCAGAGCTTAGGCAAAAAAAAGGAGTTATTTTATACAAACCTGATTGACCGTGCCTGGTTCATGGAGAAAGATTTGTCGTACTCATCGTTCGGCGGGTCAGGGAGCGGACCAGACGCCTTGCCCTTTGAATTCGAGTAGTGCAGAATTGCAACGCCGGTAACCCTGGTCCAGAGCGACTCGTTCACGAACCGAGCGCTGGCCACGATGTAGTAGTCACTGCTTGCATTCTGGTCCATGGTGACCAGAAAGGAGTAGGACTGCCCCACGTGGATGTCGAGGTTGGTGAAATTCTGCTTCATCGTGTAGGAGCCCTCCGTCTCGACCATGGCCATGTTGTGTCCCTGGATCCTCAGGTTCAAGCTCGTGGAGACGCCCACGTTGTGCACTCGGAAGCGGTAAGTTTTGCCTGTCGTGGAGCTGAGCCTGTTAGTTTCCACGATAACGGTAACGTACTATACTATACTGCAGTAATCATTGTTCAAAGAATTTGTAGTGGCCTTGTCATGAAGGTAGTAACTAATCATCAACCTCACTTCCCCCATCATATTTGCAGCAACAGTGTAACATTTCAAGTATTTGCAGCAACAGCACTTGCAACCATGATTGTTTTGTTATTATTAACATACCCACAAAAGTCACAAGGAATTCAATACTAGTAATGCAGCCTATTGGGATGAAAGTGAGAGAAGCAATCACCCTACCTGGCTCAACATCGATAGTCTCGTACTCGATCCCAGCCGGGACGAGGGAGTCATTGTACCGATACGGCCCCTTGCCGTTCATCAGAACGCCGTCGGGCATCCCGAGCTCCTTCCCATCATCGAGCATCTTCCTCAGGTCCTGGCACACAAGACAAAGCCACAGTCAACACCCTCGACTATCCATCTATACATCGGTACACATTTGGTTCCCTGCATATATAGGGTCTAACGTACCGTGTGGTTCTTGTTGTACCAGTCGCCGATGAAGAGCCTGACGTCGCCGTCGGGGGTGTCGAAGGGGACGGAGATGACGGCGCGGTTGTTGACGGTGATGCCCCCAAATCCGCCGGCTGCGCGCTGCATGGAGAGCGGCGGGAAGTAGAAGAAGCTGCCGATCTGGTCCTTGACCTGGAAGTTGTAGGTCCAGTTCCAGCCCGGCGGGATGGGGCAGTTGGTGCCCAGCACCCCGTCCTGCCAGCAGTTCTTCCGCTGCTGGATGCCGTCCCTGCATCGATCAGAAAATCACAGCAAGGCCTGCTTGTCATCACACTGAACACTGAACCTGTAACTGTAACAACTGAAGCCTGCAAGAGCAGTGAGATGACTGAAGTTTGGATGGTGGTAAGGGAGTGTGCATGCCAGGTGATGAGGAGCGGCTCGTCGAGGCTGTTGAGGACGTTGACGGCGACGTTGTAGTTGGTGGTGACGTTCACCACGGGGCCCGGGAACTCCTTGTTGATTGCGATTACCTGAATCAAAACGAAAAAATTCAGAAACACACACGCACAAACGGGTTCAGGTTCAGACATTAATAAAAACCGGTGCCGCGAGGTCAGATCTCTCCTAGTCGGGAGGCGCACGGGAGCAGTAGCACGCCGGGGGATCTGGGCTTTTGGGGGCGGCCGGCATGGAAACGAATCGAAACTTTTGAAGGTGGGGAGCGGGAGGGGGGCGAAAAATTCAAAACTTTTGCGCGTGTCGGGCCGGGGAAATCCCCCGAAGAATCGACGGGCGGCATGGTTTCCTTGCGGAAATCTGCTGCAGTGGTAGCTAGCATCTCGTCCCCCGGAGGAAGGAGGGAGGGAGGGGGCGGAGGCGCGGACGGCGCCCCGAGGGACGCGTGAAACGGGGGTGAAACTGAATCTTGACGGCGGGCAGGGCAAGCGGACGGTCCCCGCGCGCGGAAACCCAAATCTTGCGGCGGTTCGCTCTCTCGGAGCACGCGGCGGCGGCGGCGGCGACTGGAGACTGGTTGGATTGGGAATGGAAGAAGACGGAGGGAGGGAGGGATGGGCATACTGACCTTTTGCGGGACGCCGAGCGGGGATCTGGTGACGTAGGAGACGTCCCAGTCGAAGGCGGCGTAGGGGTCGGTGGCCCGCGCCGGCGCCGGCGCCAGGAGGCCGAGCAGTAGCGGCAGGAGGAGCAGCGCCGCCGCCGGGCACGCCATTTCCTTGCCTCCGCTTCTCGCTCTCCCCGGTGGAGACGAGTCCACACTGGTGTCTGCTGCTGATTCTTGGGATTCCCTTTTCTTTTGCCCCTTTTCTCCGCACTGCTCGGTGCTCGCTCGCTGCCTGCCGTTTCTCTCTCGCTGGCTATTTGTGTCGGATGGGAGCCGCGGCGTGGCGTGCGGGGAGAGAGAATGGGGGTTTGGGAGGGTTTTGAGGGAAAGCATCGACCCCAACCCCAACGGGCAACAGCTGTGTCGACGCGGACAGTGTGGGGGCATGGGCCGAGACGCGTCGCGATGCATCCCCTCTCTGCGCGTGGGCCCCACACCATCCATCTTCAATGCTAGCCTATCCTATTCCTACCACCATGTCCCATGTGTAATAGCCTCAGGCCAACTCCAGCGCACGACCCCACCCCGTCCAGCCTCGTCGGTTTGGGGTAAACCCCACGGCCCAGCACGCGGCCGCCTTGACCCATCTTGTCCGTTTCGTGTCCGGCCCGACCCATTTCCAGCGCAAACCCTACTTCTCCCTTCCCCTTCCTCGAGCTCGCCGACCGCCGGTAATCATGGTGTGCGATGGAGCACCGGCCGCAAGGGGGCGCACAACCACGAGGCCGATTCTCCCTTCGCCCTCTCCGTCACCACCACCAACTCCTCGCATGACAGACGAGGAGGAGGAGGCCCGGCTCATTCAATGTGTCATGAAAGACTCCATGAACACGCACGGTGAGCGCCAATAGGAGGGCCTGGACACCATGTTGGCCCTCTCTGCGGCCGGCGACGTGGCCGTACCAGAGCTAGAGATGATGGACGTCAAGGAGGACGTCAAGGAGGAGGTGCTGGAGAAGCAGCCCATTGCCGCGTTCCACCCAGACCTGGTGGACCAGCGATGGAGCTGGTCATGCACGGCCACGGACATGGCCGGCGCCGTGAGGGGCGGGTGGTGCCCCACGCCGCCGCAGTCACCGGAGCGCGAGCAGTCGCCACGAGAGGGGTGCTGGAGGCGCCTCACACCTTCCAGGGACCACCGTCCCACCTCTGGACGCCACCGCCCTACATCGACCTCACTGGCAACGACGACGACAACGGCGATGCGTGAGACGGCGACGAGCATGGCATCGACGGGCACGGCGACGGGTACGACATCGACGGGCAACACTTGTCTTTTGTTTTAGTTTTTATGTTAATTATGTTCTAAGCACTTTGGAGGCCGTGAAGACTATAATGTTTCATTATGTTTTAATCATTATGTTTGCGTAGTTTTTGGTTTTTTCAGCATTTATTTGAGTTTTGTGATTTTTATATCATGTCCACCCCAGACATGATTTGAGGTGCGGCCGCGCGTTGGGCTCACCGACACGGCAATGGCCCCAAACGGACATGAGCTACCCCATTGTCGCCCCAAGCAGACAGAATCCGGGCAAAACGGACGTCCGTTTGGGGTCGTGCGCTGGAGTTGGCCTAAGGAAAGGGAGGGAATCACAGACAAAATTCCCCAAGTACACCCCTGGGTTGGATTGGAGATGAGCGTCAAACTATCCATAGTGGGAGCAACATAAGAGCATCTACAGCCCCTCGTACGCTCAGGGGGATAGCCCGGTCAGTGACGGGTAAAAATCACGACCCAGACGGGTGCCTCAAGCATCCCGGTTGATCGACAACCCTCATAACCCAAATATGGGATGGATACGGGCACGTCCGCCACATTGGACCTGACCCATGCCGGCCCACCCGACCACACATATATTCATCCGCATCCGCTCCTCAATCCAAACCCTAGCCACCCCCTCCACTCTGCCACCCAAGCTCCCGTCCAGCGATCTCCGACATGGCGGGCAGCGGATCTGACTCCGAACAGTCTGGATCCGTCGACTGGGGTGTCGTCCCGCGCAAGTTGGAGGAGGCAATTGTCATCTGCATTACACTGCACCCGACCAATGACGGGATCTGTCTGGCGCGAGTACATTGCATCGGCACATCTGGTGCTAGAAGCTGCATCATCGCGATCCTCTCGGGAACCTTCCAATCTCCCTTTCTCCATCGCCAGTCCACCTGAATATGAGTGCTACCGGGACTGGTATGCCCGCCGTGAGAAGGAGATGATCGGGGTGGCCAAGGCCCGTCTCGCTGCTGATGTCTACTACACAACCTTCTTCTTGTAGACATTGTTGGGCCTACAAGTGTAGAGGTTTGTAGGACAGTAGCAAATTTCTCTCAAGTGGATGACTTAAGGTTTATCAATCCGCGGGAGGCGTAGGATGAAGATGGTCTCTCTCAAACAACCCTGCAACCAAATAACAAAGAGTCTCCTGTGTCCCCAACACACCCAATACAATGGTAAATTGTATAGGTGCACTAGTTCGGCGAAGAGATGGTGATACAAGTGCAATATGGATAGTAGATAAAGGTATTTGTAATCTGAAATTATAAAAACAGCAAGGTAGCAAGCGATAAAAGTGAGCGTAAACGGTATTGCAATGGTAGGAAACAAGGCCTAAGGTTCATACTTTCACTAGTGCAAGTTCTCTCAACAATAATAACATAATTGGATCACATAACTATCCCTCAACATGCAACAAAGAGTCACTCCAAAGCCACTAATAGCGGAGAACAAATGAAGAGATTATGGTAGGGTACGAAACCACCTCAAAGTTATCCTTTCTATTCTATCTATTCAAGAGTCCGTAGTAAAATAACATGAAGCTATTCTTTCCGTTCAATCTATCATAGAGTTCGTACTAGAATAACACCTTAAGACACAAATCAACCAAAACCCTAATGTCACCTAGATACTCCATTGTCACCTCAAGTATCCGTGGGCATGATAATACGATATGCATCACACAATCTCAGATTCATCTATTCAAACCAACACAAAGTACTTCAAAGAGTGCCCCAAAGTTTCTACCGGAGAGTCAAGACGAAAACGTGTGCCAACCCCTATGCCTAGATTCCCAGGGTCACGGAACCTGCAAATTGACCATCAAAACATATATACATCAAGTAGATCACGTGAATATCCCATTGTCACCACAGATAAGCACGGCAAGACATACATCAAGTGTTCTCAAATCCTTAAAGGCTCAATCCGATAAGATAACTTCAAAGGGAAAACTCAATCCATTACAAGAGAGTAGAGGGGGAGAAACATCATAAGATCCAACTATAATAGCAAAGCTCGCGATACATCAAGATCGTGCCATAGAAAGAACACGAGAGAGAGAGATCAAACACATAGCTACTGGTACATACCCTCAGCCTCGAGGGTGAACTACTCCCTCCTCGTCATGAAGAGCGCCGGGATGATGAAGATGGCCACCGGTGAGGGATCCCCCCTCCGGCAGGGTGCCGGAACGGGCTCCCGAGAGGTTTTTGGTGGCTACAGAGGCTTGCGGCAGCGGAACTCCGATCTATATTCTACTCCGATGGTTATAGGGTATATGGGAATATATAGGCAAAAGAAGTCGGTCGGGGGAGTCTCGAGGGGCCCACGAGAGTGGAGGGCATGCCCAGGGGGGGTGGGCGCGCCCCCTATATCGTGGCCTCCTCGACGCTTCCCTGGCTTGCACTCCAAGTTTCGAGGATTGCTTCTGTTCCAAAAATAACTTTTCCGAAGGTATCATTCCGTTTGGACTCCGTTTGATATTCCTTTTCTTCGAAACACTGAAATAGGCAAGAAAACAGTGATATGAGTTGGGCCTCCGGTTAGTAGGTTAGTCCCAAAAATGATATAAAAGTGTAAAATAAAGCCCATAAACATCCAAAACGGGTAATATAATAGCATGGAACAATCAAAAATTATAGATACGTTGGAGACGTATCAGCTGCTGACATAGCGATGGAGAAGGCGGCTGATGCGGTGGTGCGTGCTACCGCGGAGGAGGAACCATCTATGTTCGCATTGTAAAGAAGCGGCAACAGACGATGGCACAAGTTCTTGGTGCTCCAAGTTCTCGCAGGATACCGAATGATGACCATCGAGACTAAAGCACACCAAAGACACACTCCACACCCTTCCATGCACTCTCTTGTGCTTGAGAAAACCTAGCCCTCTTCTCTCCTATAGGATTGGATATTGTCTTCACAAGAGTTGACCATTAAGGATAACTGTCATTAGCTAGGTAGTATCCCTTGTAGTAGTGGTGGCCATTGATCTCAAAGTTGACCTCTGGGCAATTGCTTTCTGCAAGCCTTCCGAACATCAGAGAGCGCTGAAGCACATTTGATGTCATTGTGAGAACCTGCCATGCCAAAAAAAGAGTGCCAAATCCAGAGATCTTGTGAAGCCACAACTTCAAGTATGACAGTGCAACCTTTGACATTCCCTTATACTGCCCTTGCCAAGCACATGGACAGTTCTTTCACGTCTAGTGCATACACTCTATGCTACCAAGCATCCTCAAAAAGCACCTTCCTGCATTGATTGCTAACAATTGGGTACTCCGGGCCAAAGCTGGTATGACAACCTTGCAGAATTTGTACAATGATGCAAGGCATGTGGACTCACTCATGTGGACCTACTCATCAACAAGATCACTGGGAATTCTGTATGCAAGCATCCGAATAGTTGCATTGCATTTCTGATAAGAGGAGAAGCCAGCCTTTCAAAGGGTATCCTCCTTGGATACGAAATAATCATCATACTCCATCAGTCCCTCCCGAATATGGTCGAATACATGTCTAGCCATCTGAAAGCTGCGCTAGAAAAGCTTGGGATTGGAAAGTGGGGATGTGCACTGAAAGTAATCAGCGAAGAGTAGGCAATGGTTGGTCTCTCTGTTATGATTCAACGCCGGACATGGCCTGGGATCAATCCCTTAAACCCCGGCCGCTGCCTAGCAATGTTGTCACTAATAACCATAGTCGTAACCACAAGATCCTCATCGCTCGACGATAAATCATCCGATCAACACATGAAGTTACTGAAAAAGAACTTATCCCCACTATCCATGGTACCTTGCAAGAGAAACGTCGAACACCTTGCGGGCGTGTTGGAG